CTCTCTGCTCTTCACTTTTTCGCCTGACGTTCGTTTTTTTCCTCAAACGAATTGTCCATAATAAAAAAAAGCACATTGTGGAATGCTTAAATTAATAGACTTTACGATATATTTCGAGTCTGATGTTCAATGCACCCGAAGTCATTGTCCTCGGTTAGGAATCCGGACTTGGAGAAGCTCCTGGAGATGTTGAAGTTGAGTGATCAGAGTGATCCTCGAGGTCTTTAGACAAGGTGGAAGCTGGCGCGAGTCCCTCCTTCTCTCGCTTCTTCTGTTTCATTCGGCGGTTCTGAAACCATATCTTCACCTGTGTCTCGTTCAGCTCGAGCGTGGCAGCAATTTCGACTCGCCGCGCTCGCGTGAGATACTTGCTGAAGTGAAACTCTTTCTCGAGCTCCGTGAGTTGTTTCGTTGTGAAATTCGTCCGGATTGTGTTTTGTGGTCCCAGTCCGTAATCGGCCACTTTAGCTGGGAGGAAGAAATGAAAGAATAGTTAAATGGCTGTTTGTCAAACAATGAAACACAGAAATAAAATGCTATAGTCATAATTCATTGGCTTGTTTTATAAAACACCAACAACAATCATGTGTGCTCGTATTCTTAACTTTTATTAGATGTGACTTTAAATTGCAGTATCAGGCAAAAAAATTCAACAAAGTTATACGTTATTGCAAACTTTTGTTAACCTTACTATAATTCCCCCGTTTGTATATGTTATCAATTTTGAAAGAACTCATAACGGGGTATATGGAGTACATGCAATTCAATACTCCCTAAAGATGGCTTTATGACCACTCAATTTGTACAGTATGTCAAAATGGTGGCCCCTGTGCGTAAAAGTTGGTGCACTAAATCGTTGCGAGGCAAATACTGCTGGGACAGGAGACGAAAGCTTAAGAACACAATGGAGGCCAACAAAAACGAATGTTGCGCGGCCAGAACCGGGGACAAGCTAAGGATAACAGTGCTGGTGCATTTCCAAGGGCAAAGGAAAGCATGTCTGTTCGATGCATTAACGCACAGGGAGACGGGTTGAAACTGAAGTAAACAGGCCTTTTTAACTTATATGTCTTTAGATAGCCTAGGTAAAAAGTTTCTAATTTGAGTATAGCCTAATGTTATATTTTGGTGACCTGCAATCTTATTTGCTTTAAGGCATAGTTGCTCTTGTTTTGAGTGTGCAGCACATAGATATTTTCGTCACAGAGGCAATTCAATCCACCTGTTTTAGGAGGGTTCCTTTTGACTTTCATCCAATCGAATGTCTTCCCAGGTGGCGACTGATCCGTGTCCCTCTCCCTCCCTTGGGAGGCCGATAAGTCGGCGTAGGTGCCTTGTGAGTAGCCTCGCTGGTGATTCTGGCCTTCGCATACATGATGCTGGTAAGGTGCGGCTGGAACGGCTCCCTGCGCCCCGCAGTACGCACCGGCCATGGAGCCATAGTGAGGACCGACGTTTGAGTTTGAAAACCCCGATGAGTGATAATACATCCCATCCTGCTCAGGGTTCATGAAATACTGGTGCTGAGCGTAGTCCGGATTGGAGCAGGCCTGGGTCCCATAACTCGTTGTCCCCGTGCCACCGTAGGAAAGGCCAATGCCACTCTGATGAGTTTGGTGCTGGTGATGCGCGTAGACGCTGCTCTGGTGCTGATGTTGTGCTGCTGCTGGCTGGTTGCTCCCCCCTACGTAAAGTCGTCCATCAGCGTTATAGCTGTCACTTGCGTGTCCGTTATGGAAGGGGCCCGAGAACGCCTGATCCAAGTGGTGGTATCCAGCCTTGGGCGAGTAGGCGTTCGTCCCACGGTTACAAATTGTGTACTCCAAAAAAGAGTTCATTCTGGAATTGTCCATGCGCAAGTAATGGCGGAGGGTCAACCTGAGAGATCGGGAGAGCCTCCTGTCCTGCAAGCTCGCAACAGTATGTCATGCGGAAGGGGGGAAATGCTTACCTCTGGAGTATTTGCTCGTGCTTCCCTATAACACATCTTTACCTCAGCTGCTGGTCACGTGAGACGTCACGGCGCCAATGGTGAGGGGACCTCAAGAAGTTTGTCAGCGCACGGCGACCATCCATCACGCGCTTGACATTTGCATGACAAAGCCACTTCAATCAAACTAGCCCATCAATCTGATAACAGCTAGAATATGTCAAACCCTGCGTGAAAGTCTCTCCGAATGAGAGAAAGAGAAATAAAGAAAGAACGTTTCAGAATTTTGCATTGAGATTTTGTTCTTCATCTCCTCTCATCGCTTACCAGCCGCGTTAGTTTCTAGTTTTAATCGCGCGAGTTTGAATAATGCGTTATCTTCGTACTGTAATGGGCTGAGGTAGGCCTATGTGATTGTCCTCTTTAATAAGAGTAATGTTCAGTGTTGCCTATAAGACAAGCCCAACGCAGAGTTCATTATGTGTGTTTAGGAAGGAAATCTCTTTAACACTCGAATTGGAAGTGACGCCACGGTTCACAGGTCGGTCCGGGTTGGCTTTGGACCCGTCTAATTTCATCACTGAACTGATCTGTTACCAAAACGAAATTAAGTCGACAGCGAGCCTTCTGTTGAGTCCAAACGAGCAGGAAAAGAACGCCAACGAGTTCCTTTTTCTCTTACAGCCTTTGGAAACCGGTGTTGCTGCATTGCTGCCTGATATTGTTCTCCTTTTTTCCATTGAATCCAAATGCAGATCAAAGTGAGAAAGATAGACTTTACAGTTGGTAACTTTCGTTTTAAACCCGTCGGTTATAAAGCGCGCTTTCTAAACATAACTTCCAAAACTTTAGGATTACAAGTCAAACTAATGAGTTCGTCTGCACCATGTATTGCTTGACAGGCGTTGGTGGACAGCAGGAGAAGAGAGAAGCTAATAATTAATTAAGATGACAATGCTGAGCAAGTCTTCCTCTTCATATAAAGCCCACGCTCAATATACGGGGGCTGAAGAAGTTCGAATATATTTGCTCATTAGTACATGGTGGTACAAGAAAGGGTAACAATATAACGCCCACAGTGATTTGTTATCTGTTTCTCTTACAGCCTTTGGAAACCGGTGTTGCTGCATTGCTGCATTGCTGCCTGATATTGTTCTCTTTTTTTCCATTGAATCCAAATGCAGATCAAAGTGAGAAAGATAGACTTTACAGTTGGTAACTTTCTATTTAAACCCGTCGGTTATAAAGCGCGCTTTCTAAACATAACTTCCAAAACTTTAGGATTACAAGTCAAACTAATGAGTTCGTCTGCACCATGTATTGCTTGACAGGCGTTGGTGGACAGCAGGAGAAGAGAGAAGCTAATAATTAATTAAGATGACAATGCTGAGCAAGTCTTCCTCTTCATATAAAGCCCACGCTCAATATACGGGGGCTGAAGAAGTTCGAATATATTTGCTCATTAGTACATGGTGGTACAAGAAAGGGTAACAATATAACGCCCACAGTGATTTGTTATCTGTCGTTTCACGTGCCAAGTGATTGTCTAGTTGTGCAGCCAAAATCTCCGAACTACTTTGAGCAGTTTTCTTAGTAGCCTTGTAGCTCTGTCCAACACTCAAAAGTGCTTGAGGCTTCTGGTTGTTTTAAACGAATCCATCAGTTGATTGGTTGCAGTGGGGTGTAGCCTATATGTAATATCTTTTTTAATAAATTGGAACAGTTCATGTTTCTAATGATCACAAACGAATCATTAATGTCATGTAAGATTCAACGAGCCTTGCTAGTGTCTTTTGATGAAAGAAATTAAGAATTTGCCAACCCTAATATTTTCTGAATCTGATATTCGTTTCAACGGTTCTTCAAATGGCCGCGCAAAACTACTATAATTAAAATTGTAAGTTGTGTGTGTGAGGGATATTCAAGCAATAATGATGCGCAGATTTTTGAAATGGATGCAAGAGAGGAGAATTATAACGTAAAAAGTTTTTCTTTCAGAGCATACAAGATAAAATGTTTATAAAGGAGACTCCATTTATAGATGGAAAAGAACATAAGAAAACAGAAAAAAAGAACAATTTAAAATCTATAAATGATATAACAATAATAATAATACGTTTTTATTATTAATATAATTGATATATTAATAAATACATTTACATTATTTAATTGATTAGCTATCAACTATTATTTGCATAAGCTTAAACGTTCTTCAGACGGAAAAAAGACGTTGCGCACCCTTGCGGCTCGCTGTATTTCTGCGCAAGTAAGTAATCGTAACAGCTATAAACAGATTTGAGAAAAAATACTCTTAATGATTTTAAATATGAAATGATTCTTGCTATTTCACTTCATTTTTGTTATTATTACGGTACATTAATATATTGTAGATAGTCCGATGTCTTGCGGTCGTTTGACGGGATTGTTCGCAATATCTCGAAATGCAAGCAACAGTTCAAGTCTGGATACTAAAACTTTTTTACGAAAAAACAAAACTAATATTATGGACAACTTTGAATAAAACAATTTAATTTTAGAATTATTTTTCGAGCTGTAGTGTAGCTGTGGCCTACTAGGCTATTGCTCTAAAAGGCGTCATTGCATGCCACGTGCTTAATGTTTCTGAACACTCCAAGTTGTGAGACTAAAATTACTCCTACACTTTAACCAGTGAAACTTAGGCACAAGTATGTTATGATACTACATTATTTAATAGTTGTGAATGATGTATGGGATCACTGCTGTGAATTTTATTGCTTAAGGTATATAAAACCTTAAAACTGAAATCATTTTTATTGTTCAATTTGTATACTTTGGCAGTTCCTTTGCTGTTTTGCTAGGCAAAATGTAAAATGCAGATGAAAGTAATGGGGCTCCCATCATAACTACCTTTAATTTTTTGCATGTCCAAGTCATTAACTTGCATAATGAATGGCCCTTGAAGCCATTCAAATGTAGTTTTCTTTCTTCATTCCACACCACATGCTAAACATTAAGAGTTTGTACAAACTGCATATGTTAACCTTAACATTACAACTGAAATCTTGTTATTATTAATTTCCTTTTACAGTTCGTCAACCCAGGCCTTTTAAAATTCTCAGTTCTGAAAGCCGGCTAATGTCCTTCACCCACCACACTTCCACTTTGTCGTCACTTGAGTAGCTGATGTGAGGTAAGCGTATTGACACACACCAGCTTTGCAGAATAATTTATGCAGGTAGGCGGAGATTAAGGTATTTCCATTGTACATGTAAAGTGGGATATTAAGAAAATCACTATACAAATAAATGATTTTCCTCCTGCATCCATCCTTTGTGGGGTGACACCTACTCAAAGTCAGTCATGTCCTTATTTTCATATGCTGCACAGAGGTTAAATGAGCCATCTGCTTAAATTATCCAAGTCATTGTGTAATAAACAAATTTAGGACATGTAGATTGTCTAAATTTAACTTCCAAAGTGATCTAATTTATCTTAATCCACTGATGCAAACGACCAAAAAGGTGATGGAGCAGTAGAAACAATGGCATTTGTTTGGTTTTTGTATCTATCTATCTATCTATCTATCGCAGAATAATTTATGCAGGTAGGTGGAGATTAAGGTATTTCCATTGTACATGTAAAGTGGGATATTAAGAAAATTACTATACAAATAAATGATTTTCCTCCTGCATCCATCCTTTGTGGGGTGACACCTACTCAAAGTCAGTCATGTCCTTATTTTCATATGCTGCACAGAGGTTAAATGAGCCATCTGCTTAAATTATCCAAGTCATTGTGTAATAAACAAATTTAGGACATGTAGATTGTCTAAATTTAACTTCCAAAGTGATCTAATTTATCTTAATCCACTGATGCAAACGACCAAAAAGGTGATGGAGCAGTAGAAACAATGGCATTTGTTTGGTTTTTGTATCTATCTATCTATCTATCTATCTATTGTTCTTTCATTCTATCTATCTATCTATCTATCTATCTATCTATCTTTTGTTCTTTCTTTCATTCTGTCTATCTATCTATCTATCTATATGTCTGTCTGTCTGTCTGTCTGTCTATATATCTTTTGTTCTTTCTTTCTTTCTTTCTTTCTTTCATGTCAATGAAAGTCAATCAAACTCCAAGCGAAGGGTGATTTATCTGTTGCCATTGTGTGACCTGTAGATCTGGACTGAATGTCTGAACTAGTCTGACTAAGCATAGTCCT